GGGGGAGTGGAAAAAGACAACAGGATTTGACATGAGAAGAGGAGAAGAGAAGAAACGTCAAAAAGACACATTTATGGTGATGGCTTGAAACCAAGACCAATATAGAATTGAATAACATTGGATTGAAAGAAAGAATGGTCGGCCACCCTTACGACCCCGCCCTTCCACGGCGCCCGTCCGGAGTTCCAGCACCGTCGCTCTGGCGAGGCCTCGATGAGGCGGAGATCGCCACGGCCGCACCTTTGCTGCTAGGTGCGAAGTGGCCCGGGAGAAGTAGAACTGAAGTAGCAGGATGTGTTCGGCTTCCTTTCGTTTGAGCAGAATTGAAGGTCCCACGTCATGGAGCACTTCGCTTTGGAGTCTACCGGAAGATTTGGATCTTGTCCCCAGATTTGTCCCCAGAGACACCAAAAGACCGCCTGAAGTTGGTGCGTTCATGTTCCGACGAAAGACCATCCAAAGCGAATTTGGGCGGCTTTCTGCATCCTCCAACTCATGAAACGTCTGGTCCAAAGAGTGCCCCACAGAAAAGGACTCCGAATCGACCTTTGGTAGCTCCTGGCATCGCTACTAACAAGAAGCTACTAGGAACAAGTGCATCGCTACTAGTAACAAGTGCCTTACTAGTAGTAACAAGAAGCTAGTAGGATTCTTCCGCTCTGTGGGTCCTTCGCTGAAACATTTGAACGCGCGCCGGTGCGTCCAGGCCCTCGTGGTCTCCTCGAGCTTACGGAGAGCGCAGGCACACCCGTTTTTTGGGCCGTCTGATTGGCACTGTGTTGGTGCAGCTTTGCGTGTCGTTTTATTTGGGGAAAGACGAGTCCACGAAGGAAGAGGAAGTTGGATAAGTTGGTGTGGGTGCACATTTGATTCTTAATTGTTTCAATGGGACATTGGCACAATTTTCATGATCGGCTTTGATTTTGGATGTTTCTGGTAAATCGAGCAGACTCTCACAGAACTCCATGTGAATTCCATCCCATGACCTCAGATTTCTTGATGATTGGGTCTATTGTCATGTAGGCGGGTTTGGCTTTCTTAGATGTGCCGCCGATGCCGCCATCCTGTTGTCTTGGCTTTGGCTCAAGATGCACAGTCAGTGGCTTACGCCCAGAGCACGACAGATTTGGGCTACTCTTCACACCACACGAAGCACTTTTTGGGCTCCAGAAAGTTAACTGCACATACGTAGGTCTGGCTCAAGGCAATATGAGCCTAGTTTTTGGATGATGTCCATTTGCCGGCTGTCTTGTTGTGAAGTACAAAAACCATGGTTCCCAAGTACCACGACTGGGCGGCCAGTTTGAAGAATGCCGGAGATCCATTTGTGACCCCACATCGAAGACGACGGGGTCGCCCGGTGGCCCAGAACGAGGACAAACTGCTTGCAGATCTCCTGTGGGGTTGGAAGGGGTTGAGCCAGGCTTGCGACACAACCATCAACCAACAGCTTCGATGCTTTCCAGACTCTCTGGGATGCTCCAGTGAAGGAGTGTTGTCACCTGGATCAGCAACTGATCCTCTCCGTAGCCGTTGAGTTCAGGCTTTCCAAGCACCGAAGTCACCAGAAGCACAAGCAAGATATGCTGTGACCAGCAGAGAGAGAGAGAGAGTACCCGTACAAAGCATCTTCTTCTCGTACAAAGCATCAAGTGACTTTTGTGTCTCGTTTTTGACCTCCAATCGCACTTCAGCACCCGAAATGCTGAGGCCAAGTAACTATGTTTCAACCCCCGACGGAACTCAGGACACAGGACGTTTTCTCCCAGGAGCCAGGCTGATCTCGATCTGAGCCATGGCGATGCTGAAGCTCTTTGATCGGGCCATGATTACCCGATTGATCCAACAGCCAGAGGAACTGGACATGAACGAACTCTTGGGCCTTTCCCGAGGAGAAGGGGCGGAGCAGCGAAGACGGGAGAGTTCCAGATGTGTTGGACCATTCCACCATCCAGTCATCTTCAGGAGTGGCATTGGCAACATGCATTATTAAACGCGGCGCAGTAACACATATACACACACATATTATATATAATACATATAGTTGTCTGCATACAGCAAATTCAGCCGCAAGATAGGATGTTCATTCAAGTGCGCTCCGCATGAGGATTCTTCTCTTTGCAGGCGGCCGTGGGGCTTGTGAGCTTCCTCTATGGTGCTTTTCACCAATCCATGGGCACCGCAGCTGATTGTGTGGGGTGATTGCGCAGCTGATTGTGTGATTCGGTTTTTCTTTGTTTTGGGTGAGGTAACAGGAGCACATGCTGAACATCCTAGAGTGCCCCGCTTGCGATCTTGTTGATTGGGTTGTTTATATTCATTGGTGGCCTAAGTGCCAAAAAGCCGGTTCGCGGGCGGCGCAGGATTTTCTTCAATTGCCTCCTTGAGGCAAGCTAGTGTTATCCTGACTGGAGACACTTGCTCCACGGCACACACTACCCAGAACAGAGGACCTCCCTTGTGACCCTCCAGTGCAGCATTTGATCTATCAAGCCAAGGAAGGCCATGAAGCGATTCCAAGGTTGTTTTTGCTTTCAGACCAGGGTTGCAGGGCTTTCTGGCAGTCGCACTTGGAAAAAACAGACCAAGAGCCTGTTCCTGATTGCATGTTTCAACCTACCCAACCCAGCTGGAGGAGTGATTTTTTCCTGGCAGAAGCTCTGAAGCTCTGAAGCTGTTTCATTCGTTTCTTTGGTTCGGTCGTACCTCGCTGGGTTTCATCCTCCACGGCTGAGCAGTCGAAGCCAGCGCTTCGCGCGCCTCGTTGAGGCCTTTCCACCGTGGGAAACTTCACCATCCCACTTTTGGGTATCTATAGCTCTCAGGAGAAAGGGTGTGGTGTTTTTTTTGTTGTGGTGTCAACCTCAGCTCTGGTGTTTACAGTTTGCGGTCGTGTTGGCGACATGATGTAAAGTGCTTTCACAGAGAAGCAGTGGGGGTTTTCTGAGAGGAGAAGATGGAATTTCGTGTAATCACTGTAATCATCCATGCCGTGGCGTTTCGCATGTTGGCGAGAATCATCGATAGTGGTCTAGTTGGTCCAGGGGCGATGATCATCAGGTGCCCCACTCTTACAGCTAATGACATGGCCTGTAGAAGAACATGTGCAAATCCAGAGATCCGCTGCAGTGACTTCGCAGAAGATTGCTCAAATTCCAGTTGGATAAAGGTTGCTTCTGGAAAGGTCTGCTGTCGCATTCCCCCTCGCAGGATGACAACCCGGAGAACTACAAAGCACTCAGAGCTCCTTGTATCAATCGACATTCACCACGAACTCTCTTTCGACCGAAGAAAAATCGACTTCAACTGGGTGGATCTAAATCAGGATGACAACCCGTTGGTTGCAGACACACATTGCAAAAAGGCCTTCACAGTTCTCGATAGATCGAGTCTTCTACAATCCGATAGATCGATGCTCTGGTGAAACGCGATGCTCAGGTTTGTGCCTTGTACTGGGTTGCTTGGCGGCTGTATTCAGCTCTGAGAAAAAGGAACAACGAGTTTTGAATGGTTTTGACCACTTTGTTGAATCGACCAATCAGTTTTGGTGGCTCAAAGAGCCATATGCACATGGTAGGATACAAGAGGTGGACCACTGTGGGGATGCTGGATTCCATCGTTGCAAAAGTCAATTGGATATATATATATATATATGATATGGCAATCTGGTTGTGGCCAAGAATCGGACGGGACTCCCCAATCTTCAGTCATGTTTTTCCCCCTACAAACGGCTTGGGTGCCGAAAAGGCCAAGGTCAGAGGTCAGTCTCTGCCGGGTCCAAGGTCAGTCTCGCCAAAAGGACTTCGAATCCACCGTTTTTCTTCGACGTTCGATGATCCACGGGTCCGGTCGGAGGGGAGATAGACGAAATGCTTGGTCAGCGGACCGTCCGCGAGAAGCTGAGTGACCGTGACATGTAGGTCTGAGGGTTGGGAGTTGCTGCATTTTGGAGGTTCCATGTGGGAACCTAGGATGAGAATGAGAACTTCTTTTGGGGCAGGTATTTTCTCCAAAGTTTCTCAGGCATGAATTCTCTGGTGTTCCACTCCTCCTTGCCAAGAGTGTTTCAGAGTCGGGGCCATCCTAACCTCCAACCTCCACGACCCGAGCCGCTCTCGTATGACCCGACCTCCACGACCCGAAGCGCGGCGTTGGCTGCCGCCCCCGCAGGTGCTCGGTGCCCTGTACAGCTTCTTCGAAGCGTTCCTGGGCCGAAGCTTCCGCTCGGCGGTGACCAGTGCACTGAAGACCGTGCTCTATGTGCTGCAGTGCCCCGACCGGATGGGATGGCCAGAAGACCACGGGGATCTCGTCTTGCGAACATGAGCGAATCATCATCGGATCTTGGTTCGTTGGGTTCAATTTGTTGGGCTGTGGGAAAGCTGCGTTTGGAGAGTGGATGTGGATGGTGTCGATTTGTTTTTCCGTTGTCTCTGTTTGTGAGGCCTTTAGAGATCGGTGTGGTTCTACGGTGTGCTGAGTTTAAAGAACCTTGCGCGCGCGCTCTTTCTCTCTCTCTCTCTCTGCGTGCTGTGGGCCAGGAACTCACACTGGGTTCCCGCTGCAGTGTCGACTTCCAAAACGTAAAATTCACACCTAGTGAAAGCGGCGCCAAAACCTAGACTTGAAGATCTAAACATGATCTAACACGGAGCAGAAACCGATCCTCGATAGACCCCCCCTGTCAAAACCTGAGACCATGTGAAGTCCAAGTAGATGAACTCCCGCCATAGTTTCAAATCTGAACTCGAACAGGAGCACAGTTCTGTTCTGCACTGTGTTTGTAAACACTTTGTTGTTGCTAGCAAGGTTAATGTCTACTTGAACGAACAAAGGGGATTTTGTCTACGGTTCATCGTTCTCGTTGGCGGAGGAAGAGCTGGAAGAGCTGGGCCCCACCAAAGTCCTTTTTTTTTGTGTGTGCGTTGGTCTGTGCGTTGGTATTCTTATATAACTACTTCACCCCACAACGAGGAATACCTTCCCCCTGTGATGCATCCATGGTATCTACAACCAGTGATTCGAAGGTTCAACCGGGGGTTGCAGGCTTCACTCGCTTCTTTGGCACTCGCTTCTATGGTGTAGATTCCATTCAGGTGGATGGTCTTGGCGCGCTTATGGCGTTGGATGCAGCACCGCTACGTCTGCACTGTGAAGTTCTATTTGAACATTGCTGCACGGCGAAGATCTTTCTAAAAAGGTTCATGATGATACAGTGGTCCAGAACGTATTTTTTTTCTCCAAAAAATTATGATACAGCATTCGAGTCGGACACTTTTCCTTTTGCCAGATTGTGTTTCCTCGTTTCCTCAGTCAGTTTCTGAACCTCGAAAGCTTCAACTGATAGTTTTTTAACATCGAATATCTAGATACACGGACTCAGGAGGAAAGCAACATGGGACCTGGCTTGCCAAGGTCATCAAGAACAAACAGGAGGTGGCATGAGGGACTTTTTGGGGTGGAGTCCCTGGAGGGAATCTGGATGGCCAGTCAGTGGGATTGCTTTCCGAACTTGGGCGGGCACCTGCCACACTTCAACTGGGCATGGCGGCCCGCCACACACGCTGCAGACACGACACATCTATTTTGACTCCTATGTTGATTTTGTCTTTTCCTGTCTTTTTCCTTAACACATGCACTGCTGAAGAGATCTTTTAGATCAAGAACCTTTCTTGAGCACCAAATGAGAAAACTTTGCACCAAAAGAAGCCCCGCATGAAATTGATTCTTTTGACAGACAAATCGACTTTGGCTGTATGTCATCCATGTTTTCAGAGAACCCACCTTCATCCATGTTCATCCATGTTCATCCACCTTTCCCAGACTCTTTGTCGCTTCGACGCTCAGGTGGTGGTTACCAAGGCGGTGGAGCGAAACCGTTTCACTGGAAAGCTCCTAGGCGCCTGGCGCGCGCGTGGCGCGCGTGGCCTGCCCGGAAGACTTATCTGCTGACCGGGTCGGAGTGTTGAGTGGACCTGAAGGCTGCCTGGCTGGCATCCCAACGGCTGGGCTCTTTTTGGCGCTATGAAACGAAGGGATGGATGAACACCTGAATCTGGATGGACGAAGTCCTTCCGGACAGATCACTGAACTCTGATGGGGGTTTCTGAAACCACGGGGACCGAGACCCGGCCGACGTCCCAGCCGCGTCTTTTGCTACGCAGGGAAGATCGCCAACAAGCTGGTCTCGGAGGCGCGGTTGCGGCGCGGAGCAGCGGATTCTTCTGGGGGGCACCGGGGTCCAAAGGTTTCAGAGGGTTTCAGTGTTCGGTGTGTGGCGGTCCTTCACCCCGTCGACTTCTGTGGAAATGGAACCTTTAACCTTTGTATTTGTCACTCGAAGCGCTAACGATGATGATGGAGCTGTTGAGCTGCCATCGCTGCGTGCAACTTCTACCAATGATTATGACATACGACGGTGTGACGATGGTTCAGAACTTTTGGCGTCCTCTCAAAATTCATGTCACCAACCGGCGACCAACCGGCTTTCCTAGAACTCCTGTCCTTTGCCTCGGGTGCGAGTCGTTGGTTGCGCGAGTCGTTGCACCTGGAGGACATGTTTTCAGAGAAAGTTGCCGCCAATGTGGAGCAGAACATCCCCCAGCGGCTGCTGAACGAAGGCGTGCCTTCGGTGTCGACTGTGTCGTGTGGTGTTTTGGGCACCAAAAAACCTGGGACGGTGGTTGGAGCACAACTGCTCCACCGGTTCCAGGTGGAATGGTATGGGTCACAGGCTTCAAACAACAGAAACTTTCTTTCCTGGATGCTACGAACGGAGCAAAGGGCATCGCTACTAGGAGCAAGGACGCATAAGGACGCTATTAGGGGCTTCTGGCCTTACTAGGAACAAAGACGCCACCAGGAACAAGAAGCTATCTTTCTCTCCGTTGGAGCGGTAAGCCTCGTTCCGGGGCGAGGCGGTATCACGGCCACGGCGAAGACGCAGTTCCACCGGGGAAACTTCTTCGTGGTCTTGGTCTCAGTGGAGAAGATCGACCTGCGGAAGATGCTCATCTCGCGCTTGGATGAAAAGTGGCTTTGGTTTTGAAGGGTGGATGGGTATGGATGGGTTGGGGAGTTGGAGTGGATGAGAACTGAAGGGTGAGGGCCTGGTTGGTGGTGCTTGTGAGGCAATGTTGGACTTTATGAAGCTGTGTGATCTACTTTGGTCGGGCGTGTTGAGAAACCTTCAGGTGGTGGTTTGGTGCGTTTTTGAGAGGCTTTTTTTGGCAGGGCGAGGGTGGCATTCCAAGAGAGAGGGAGCAAAGGCTGAAATGAAGTTTCTAGCCTCCAACCTATATAATAGCGATGGCCTTCGACCTAATAGCGGCGATGGATTTCGACAATCGAGCAGAGCCAGTGTTGGAAGCGCCGATTCATCGAGGCAGATGAAGAGATTCGACCAGGTCATGCATTACATCGAGGCTCGGGTGGGTGTGAGGGCTGCTCCATGGAAGTTTCTTTCACAACGGAAGACACTTCCTCACATCACGCGTCTTTTTTCCTTCTTTTTTTTTGGGGGGGAGGCCGGGGAGGCTTTCTTCGAAGAATTTCTTTTCAATTTCATCGTTCACCGCTCAAAAATGAAGAACTTGGACCATGTCTGGGTGCCCAATAGCTTTTTGCTGCCTTCTAGAAGCCTTCAGGGATCGACGATCCATTCGGTGACTCTTCATCCCAAAGCCGATCCAAATGCCCGTGAAAGAAAGCTGAAATCACCCCGAAGGGTCTTTCTTCTGACCATTGATCGAAAGTGCACCTTGGTGAGCCAGTGAGCCAGGTGCTGCCCAGGTGGGTGAAGACCGACCTCGAAAGCTTGATCCTCATGCAGGCCGATCCCTCCCGACGCGAGCCGCACCGAAGAGGAAGCACAGATCGAGCTCAGAGAGCTACTGGGAGGCCTCGTGCCGGTCACGAAGGATTTTCGAAACTGCAACGGACCCAAGCAACGAAAAACACTGCACAGTCCGTTACCCAGACGACACTGGGAGAGAGAACCTCGACACTGACCTTCTCTGCTTCGTGACCCGAATAGATGCAGGAGTCACTAGGATGACCGGAGCCGACCTGGTGGACTCAAATTAGGGGAGTGGGTGGACTACTCGGACTTGCGGACATTTTTTTCTCTTAAACTGCGTAGGCCTTTTGAATGTTTTTGATGGATATTATGGTGCTTTCTTGGTTTCTCCCAATGGTTCTTGGTAGCGCTATCCCCCAATCCAACTCCCTCAGGTCGTTTTCATCCCTTTCTGCGCTTCCACTCGCTCCCCCACTCGCGACATGTGTCAGGTGGGCAAAGGCCTCTTGGATCGGATGCCCGTCGCTTGGCCGAGTGAATCAGCGGAAAAACCCAGTTTCCGTCGACGGGGAACCCGTCACAAAACGACCGGACCGATGACCAACTCGGTCTTCCCCATCTTTTCCCTGTTAGTGAGTCGGAGTGTATGCGAGACACCTGAGATAGGGCATGCTTTATAGTGCCTGTGAGATGGGGGCGTTTTGTTCGCCCTTTAATGCCCACTTCTCACAACTTCCTGTTCTTTGGTCCGGCACCTGCACCTCTGCACCTGATCTCCCGTTTCCAGGAATCGATGACTCGGCAGCTGCGGGACATGGGCGGCCTCGACGTGGAGGTGGAGTCCAAACTCCCCTCCGAGGAGGGGCAAGGGCGTCGGCGTGTGGGGCCATGGGTTGGTGGGCCGTGGGGGTCGGAGTTGCAGACGGTGAGAGTCATCGTGTGCATTGGGGGTTGGTGTGGTACGGTAGCGTAGGTGCTTAAAGCTAAAAGTTTCTCGTTGCGGCATCGTAGCTCTGCGATCCTGTCCAGGAGGCCGAGTTTTTCTTTGCAGTCATGAAACAGATGGATGAGGAGGTGACCCGGCAGTTCAAACCAAAAATCCGTCTTAGTGCATCCCGGTTGACAGCTGGGTTGACGCTGGAACATTTCTAGTTGTTTTGGAACGATTGGTTACTTTCCGTGGTGGCAACTGGATCCTGCGTTTGGCAGTTGATCAAGTTGCAATAAACCAGGCTATAGTTACTTATTTCATCTTAGTTCTCTTTTGCATCCACTCGGGCCAACTGAACAACTTTGATGTACGGATCGAACAACTCCAGTTTGAAGATCTTAGAACTCCAGCCTCATCCTAAAGGCACCACTGGATCTGAAAGCAAAGCTAAGCTGGACTGATCGGTTTTTGGCTTTCTTGCCATGAAAAGTCATTCGCTTCTCACTTTCCGCTCGCTTCTCTGCGTCCGCGACGCCCAGGCGAAGAGTCGGAAGGAGAAGGATTCGCCCTCCTTGCCCTCCTCGCCCTCGCGGAACATCTCCTCGCCCAAATAGTCGACCGATAGTCGATCGCGTGCGGACCGGTCCCGCCGTAGAAAGGTCACGCCTCTTCAGGCAGCTGCGACGTCCAGCGAGGTCACGTCGCTGATGGTGCACAGATGAGGGGCTCCAGTGGCTTCAGCTGCTGCGTGTCTGTCTCACTGAAAGGTGGTAGAGAACGTGCTTCAAGCTGAAACATGGAACCTTTGGAGAATTGAACCGCCCAAGGAACCGTCTTGGGCGATTCATGCATGATTTCTGGGTGTCTTAAAGATCAAACAGGCCATGTTGAGGCACCCACTGCCACTGGCCGCTGGCCCCTGGTTGACCCCGAATTGGGGGCATGTGCCGATTGCTTGGACCGCAACAGAGCGCGAACCGTGCAGAGTTGGAGCTGGCTCATGGAAGTAGGTTCGGTGGCATTTCAAGATCCAACATTTGGGGAGGGGCACGTCGGGGCAGGTGTCCTTTTTTTTTGACCCCACCAAGCAGTTCAGTTCGCATGGATGTTCATCTTTGAAGGAGAAGCACTTCCAAGATGTTCCACGAAACCGGTCGATGCCTCCTGCCTGTGGCCCAAGAGAACAAGTTCGCCACCTGCCACCTCCCTCCGTCGCCGTAGTCTTTTTCTAGAACACTTCATCAAGCATCTTTCGGAAAGTATACTTCCCGACTTTCAATTCCTTCAAGCATTTAGGGGATTCCGTAGCCTTCCTTCAGCCCAAGATGAGATCAGGTCGGGCATCTCTGAGCCAGCGGTTTCTTGTGGAATGCTTCCAGCTAGAGATGGGATCGAGTTGAGTCAGTCCTATTACCTGTAACAGTCGGTAAACAATTATAACTATTTTAGGACAAGGCCTTTTCTAAGCATCATCATCCACTCTTACAGCGAATAGGATATACCCAAAGTAGAGGTAGTGTTTCTTGATGTTCTTCAACTATGTCGATCATTTTCATTGGTCACAAGGGGTCGAACCCCAGCCGCAAGTCTTTGAAGCACCGTGCGGCACCGTGCGGAGAAAAAACCACCGCAGCTCTGGCCTGCTCGTCCATGCGCCTTGCTGGAGTTGATCCAATGCTTTGGAGCTCTGGCGAGCTCGAAGCACTTTCAAAACGTTTTTCCCCCGAAAGATGTCCGACATAAAACAAAGGATGACCTTCTCACTTCAAGTAGGTAGGCTGTAGGATCTGTAGGCTGTAATCATCCAACCCCTCTTGTGCAATGTTGAGTCAGCTGCATCTGGCCCTCCACCGGGGCCTGGTGGGGCGAGTCTTCGTTTCTCCTGGCAGGAAACGACAACGGCGGTGGCTGTGTGCTTTTCCGCCCGACTCCTTGGAGGGCTTCGGGGTAGGGAGAGGAGACTTTTGGGCCGACGTGGCACCCGACGTCGCCAGTTCGTGGCACCGTAGGGCGACGCGCAGAGTCTGAGGCCGCTCAGCGCTCGAAGCCACTGCACGCTTCCTGGACCTTTATGGCCCGGGAGACCTGGACACAACGCGAGGGACGTGTGTTGTCGCCAAAAGCTGAGTTAGACAGCAAAGATCAACATTCTGTGACTTGTGAACTTTAGGACTTCAAGGTTTGCCCTAGTCACCTAGTCCCAGCGCAAGGCAGTACTGTTTCCGGCGGTTTTCAACGAAACGGACTACTGGGGGAAACATTCGGAAGAGGGGAAGGCGAGCGAACCACTGACGCAGCGCCAAAAAAGCCAACCACCACACGAATCTCACCACAAATTCCCCGAAACGTCCCGCCGGGTCTTTCGCCTTCCTTGCAAAGACCACCGCTCCGCTTCGACCAAAGCGGGTCCAGGCGCCCGCCGTGCGGCGTCGCCCACCTTGCGGCGCCGGTCCTTGCGGGTGGCGGAAGCCTGCCCGGTGGGCCCAGCGGCGCGGTGGCGGGTTGTGAGGACGAACATGTTCTCCAGGTTCTCTCTTAAGAACTGGCCACAGTCTCCAGACTCTGGCCTCTGAACCTTGTGTCCGGGTGTTGTCCTCCTGTTGTCCTCTTCTTGTCCTCCTGCTGTCCCCTGGACGCGCTGGCAAACCCTGTGTCCTTCTCTTGTCCTCCTGTCCTCTAGCTGCACTGGCAAACCCCAGGGCCCTCTTATCACCGCCTTGTCCAGGCCTTGTCCCCTGCTTGGCCACGCCGCAATGTTTTCGTGTGGCTATGAATGCAACAGTGATGCAGTGCAAATTGGAATCCTCGGACTTTTTCTTAACATATGCTACTTTTTCTTGAATTGTGACCCGGGCATCAGGCACTGTTGTTTTCAAGCATTTTCTATTTTTTTTGTATACGTGCTGTTCCCAAACAACTGGAGGACGTAGCTGCAGACGTTCACACCAACATTAGAATGCTCAAACATAATGCTGACACTGTTTGGGTCTATGCTGGTATAATGCTGGCATAATTCGTTTTTCCGGATCTCAAGTTTTGTATTTTCAAAAAGAGCTACAGCTGGGATTTTGGATGAGATTCTTTGTTTGGAGCTCTAAGTGCCAGGAAGGTCCGGAGCTTTTGAACTCTGTCGGATCCTCAGGTCTGAGCATCTTCCGGAATGATGTGGACAACAAGGCTGGGCGTGACAGTGAAAACAGCGTGCTAGGCATCTCGGGAAAGCTCCTCGTCTGGTGTTCATCCAGAAATGGATTCTTCCAAGTGACGAAAACATGCCCAACTCTCTCAGTAGAAACCAGG